CACTCATGTTTTATGGGATCATTACGAAAGAACCGTACCGCCTCATTACGCAATTCTCGCTCCTGAGTTTTGGACGCTGCTTATAAAGCTGACGGTGTGTCGACGTTGCTCTTAACCCTGTGTGACCGCGATGCCAAGCAGTCTGGAGGATTGATACAACGTGCCGTTGAAGAGGCGGGAATTCCACAGTTTCAATACCCCTACCCTCGTGAAAGTATACAAGCAGGTAAAACCGCCGCAAGCGCGCCTTGCTTGTGCCGTATGGTTTCGGACGCTCGGCGAACCGAACAACCCGGATGCAAACACGCGATTATATGCTGAACATTCGCACTCGCTTTAGAGAGGCAGACTGGGCACCGCCTCCTATCCTAAGACGCATTCTATTGAACATGATTCGGTGTTGTAAGACTTCAGGTGTAGGGTGAGTAAAACTGACAACCAAAAACGATTGAATTCCGCTTATTGACAGTTTTCACACAATTATGATAATTTCCCCTGCTATGATGCTACCACTGGAGGAATCTTATGGAATGACAAAATACCACTTGTTCTAACTCCACAAGCTGAGGGTGGATATACAGCGACTTCTCCCTTATTGCCGGAGTTGGTCACCGAGGGAGATTCGCCAGTTGAGGCATTAGAAAACGTCAAAGACGCTTTTGCTGCAGTCCTTGAATTATATCAGGAGTCAGGACGTTCATGCAGCGAGAGAATACCCAATTCCTGAGGCGAAGGGCCGCCCCGTGTGGTTGAAACCGGTAGTGTCTGGCCTCGTGAAATATCGGAGAGTTGAGCCGCGGAAAATTGACAGTTCTCGAAGGAGAAGAGACATGCGAGAAGATTGCGAGTTGGCGCGTTGATGATGTGGCGGGATTATCTTCCGAACGCCACTCGCGACTAGCGTCCCTATGGCTCAAGGGGAAGACCGAGCAGGACGAGTGCAAAGAAAAAAGGACCGCGCGCATAGATGGGATTGTGTGCGATGCGTAAGCCGACTGAAGAAAAAGAGTAAAAGATACACGGGCGAGGAGCATCTGCGAATGAACGCAGAGGGGTCCTGATGTAACCGGCGGACAGGTGGCGCGGATGCACATAATACAGTTCACATCACATCACTGCAATCTATAATCCTTTCCGTGCGCTTCTCGATAGACAAGATATAGATGCAGTTGATGTGTGTTTGCACCCGCGTCCGCACCTTGAAATTACCCGCGCCGCCACCGATGCTGGGCACACACATCTTAATGGAAAAACCGATGTGTTGTGAACGTCGCTGAGGGAGACGAAATGATCGCCGCCGCTGAAAATGCGGGTGTGCTCCTGATGGTAGCTTATATGATGCGGTTCGATCCCGGATACATGAAACTGAAATCGCTATTAGACGACTGGCACGCTCGGCACCTTAGAGAGGGATTAAGAGGGACGGGTGGAGAGGGTTGGCGGGGAAAAGGGTAGACAAAAACGGAGGCAAAATGGAGGAAAGGTATAGAGCGAGGGTTCGATGGCGTATTCTATCAAGTCGGCATTGAGATTCTCACGGACAACGGCATCCGTGGCTCTTTGTCCAGCAGAATCGGTGGGGTGGTATGTTGTTTAGAGCAAGCCATCCACAACCTCGATCTCTGCGTGTGGCTGGCTATACACGGTCCCGCCTCGACTGTCTACGGGTTTACGAGTCATGTCCCCCTCGGTGGCACTTATCCACCAGTTGACGAAGCCGTTGAAAACAACGCCGTGCTAACCGTGCATTTCAAAAACGGCGGTGTCGGGATGATGATTAAGAGTTGGGCAGCGGAAATCGGAAATAGAGGTAACGGTCTCGTTACCAGCAGAGGTTCTGCGACGCTGATTCGGCATGGACTCCGTTGGAAAACCCACGACATGGCATCCGAGGAAGAATTCACTGCCGCCGTGCCAGATGACGGTACCTATCGCAATGTGCCGGAGGCGCAGCGTCAACAACGATATTGGGGCATGGCAGCGAAAGGCGCGAGCATCGATCATTGGCTCCAATGCATCGCTGGTGAAGCGGAACCGACACCCACGGACGCATCGGTAGAGACGGCATTGAGTTGGCAGAGGCGACGTATCGTTCCTCCCAGATCGGTGCACCGATTTCGTTACCGTTATAGCGATAGCCGTAATGCCACCGCGTTTTCCCACAGTGTATGGTCTTTGTGTCTCGTTTGCACATACAGTACAAAAACGTAACTTTGCGAAATTGTTCAAATTTTAGCAAGTCTTTGGAGACCAAAAATGCCGAGTAAAACAGCGTTACTGTTGATCTCAATTTTGGTAGTTTTCAACTGCACTCCCGTTTCTTTCAGGTAAACAGCCGTCCCAAAACAGCGATTTGGAGAAACAGATAGACCGATTAGTGACCTCGGATATCCCAACGGGTTTATGGAAGAATTGGGTAGATCAAACAACCGAAACAATCGTCGGAACTGTTTTAGAAGAGTGGGAAAAAAGGGACTTAATTACACAAATTGATGATGTGCTCTTCACTAACATCCACACGAGCGTTCGCGAGCAGTTCACAGCACAAACCGTTGAGATTAAAAAGAGGTATCCGTCACCTTATGACATGAAAGAATACAAAATCGAAGTGACGATAGAGAACACAGGACCCGAGAAACATTTCGGACCCCAAACTGTTGAGACAATTATGGAATCGTTCCATGAGGAATACAGTCACGGGACTAAGTATCTATACGGAGAGGCATCCCTCAAAGAATTAGATGCGCAGTACCCACCAGCCGAATGGATTCAGATGCTCCTTGATAAAAGGGTACCCATCGAAAATACCGACGACTATTCGCAGTATCTGTCATCGCGACGTCGGTTAGTGTACCTTGAAGATAAGCCGGAAGAATGGCAATCCGGTAAACAGGGAATTTCACCGACAGATGATTTCGATACCTATAAAGTGGCATTTGTGAATCGGATGATTTGGGAACACCAACAGATGCAAGCGGAGCTGTTAGCCAACCCGGACTTAATGGGCGGATTCTTTGGGGGACCTCAAGCCCAAACCTTTTTTCCATACAAAAAAGGACGCGTCTACGTCAAACGCGATGGAAAAAAAATTGTGTTTTTGGGAGAGAAACTTACGCCAAAACAGCAATTTGCGTTACTTTCTGAAGGTGCAATTCCTGAGAAACACGAAATCACTTATCTTGATGAAAATTTAATTCGTCTTAGTGAACCACTACCACCTATCTCGCGTGAGGCACTTTTGGAGGCGGGTATACCGGGACCACCATGGAACGATGCCACCCTGAAAGATAATGGGCCTGAAGAACCCGATACCCACGTGCCAGCCGGTGAACTTTTCCAGGTTCACGTGCAGCACCCTGACCGACTGATAATGCCAATCTCACCAAGGTATACCAGTCACATCCATTACGGATCCATCGTCCAAGCTCAAGAGTCTAAACCGATGTTTGATGTGCCACAAGACAATAGATAACACACAAGAATTTACCTGATAGGGTAGTGTTACATACTCTATCAGTATCTCTTACATCGAAATCCCCAATAACCTTCGCGTCAACTGAAAATCCGTATTCCCTTTGCCGTGCTTCGCAACCCGTTGTCCGTATGCCACTGAACCGACAACCCACGGACGCATCGGCAGAGACGGCATTGAGTTGGCAGAGGCGACGTATCGTTCCTCCCAGATCGGCGCACCGATTTCGTTGCCCTTGTAGCAGTACACACACCTTTCCTGTAGAAACAATTCCACAATACCCTTCTATACTTTGTAGCGCGGATCTCCGTATCCGCCCATTATCACTTACCTAAAATTTGCTTTTCACGCCAAAGTCGCCCCTATGCCCCGAAAATTCAAACTAAACTGTCACTTTACCGCTGGCGAGGTTTCCTAACCTCGCTACTTATAGTGTATAGGTATTCCTCGACAGTGGCTTCACCGACAATTTTCGCTGCCAGTTTAATGAATTTTTCCGCATTCATGTTCAAAGAGTGCTTATGTTGTGTACTATGTGACGTTTGCAAACGTCCTAGTGACGTGCTTTTGAACCACAAACAAGACAAATATGTGAATGATAAATATACTATATGTTAAATAGCACAACTCGTAAAATTCTTAAACCTGAATGACCCTAAACGTTTGGATAATAATATTGACGCAAAATAAAAACGAATGTAAAGTTAATATAAAAAAATTAATAATGACTATTATAGTAAAACCCGAAAATATGTAGACATAGTACGACCTAAATCGCCTCCTCTTCGCTGCCGAACTAGACAGAAGTGCCGCCGCACCTTCTTCTACACCCGCAATCTTTAGAGATGCTCACTACAGCAGATGTCAATTGGGACTATCAGATGTACAGCAACTAGGTCTCACAGACGCGACATTACAAAGTGGGGTTATCTTCTTAGAGCGGTTCCTCGCAGTGTTAATCCCGAAAGAGACTGCTCTCTTGGCAAACTATCCAAATCCATTCAACCCGATTGCACGTTGCAATCGAAATCAATAAAAGGAATTTATGATGAAAACGTTAGTTGTGAGCCGAAATATAATTGTGTTAATTTTCGCAGTAATGATGTTGATAAATGGTGTGCAAGGCATTAGTTATGGTCGAGATAATGCCCCTACAGTCATCGGTGAAACTAATACTTCTATTAAAGTTGGTTTTACAGATTCCCTCTTCGAGTTTGATGAAAAAGCTTACCAAATTCAGTTGCGTCGAAAATCACCTCAAGGAGAGTGGATAACAAAATGCTCAACTATTTCGCTCCTCATAGGTCCCGATAAAATCCATTCCCTCCCTGGCGGAAATTACATAATCAGTGCCAGTTTCACTGACCTTGAGCCTGGTGTTACATACGAAGCACGTTACCGAGATACAAACCTCTCCGAGTGTAACAATAATCCACCTTCTCCAAGGCCGTGGTCTGCGATAAGTGAGGGAACAACATGGTTAGAGAATACACTTCTTGCCGAATTCGTAGATACCAGTTTAGCCCTAATGGTCCGTAGAACATTAGGGCTTAATACTCTAGACACATTTGGCATTCTCAGAATTCCTAAAGCGGAACTGATAAAATTAACCGAACTGAGTGCTAATGGGTCATTATTGGAGGACCTGCGTTTACCGGCGATAACTGACCTTACTGGCTTGGAGCATGCAACTCAACTTAAGACGTTACGCTTAAGTGCTAATAACGTTAATGACATCACGCCACTCACACAACTCACGCAACTAATCCAGATAGATCTCTGGCGCAATCAAATCAGTGACATTACGCCACTCGCAGGACTCACCGAACTCCGGGAGTTGGATCTCGCAGGTGGTCCAACGGGTAATGAAATCGTTGACATTAGCCCGCTCGCAGGACTTACGGAACTCCGGGAGTTGAATCTTAGTAGTATTGGAATCAGTGACATTAGCCCGCTCGCAGGACTCATGGAACTCAGAGAGTTGAATCTTGGTTTTAATCGAGTCACCGATATTAGCCCGCTTACCCAACTCATAGAATTAACAATGTTAGAACTCCACGCTAATCAGATTAGTGACATCACTCCCCTTGCACAACTCACGGAGCTCAGAGAGTTGAGTCTCAGTAATAATGAAATCGTTGACATTAGCCCACTCGCACAATTTAAGAAACTGACGCTGTTATACTTCTCGTATAATCAAGTCAGGGACATTACACCACTCGCACAAGCGGAATCGCTGACGAAGTTGTATCTTGGTCATAATCAGATCCGTGACCTCAGTCCACTTACAACGCTGACACGGTTGACGACGTTAGATCTCGCGAGTAATCAAATCAGCGACGTTACTCCACTTGCGCACTTTCTGAATCGCTGGAGGACTTGGACCTTCGAGATAATCGAATCAAAGATGTTACCCCTCTCGCAAACTTAATATATCTTGAAAGGTATCACTTAGGGATAATCCTATCACGGATACATCCGCTCTTTCGCCGCTTTGGATGAGTATCCGGATTTGGATGTAGATATTGAGGTTATCCGGGAAAAAGGAGGCCCGACCCTAACGGTATCATCTTCTCCATCGCTGACGGGAATGACACTGCATGGGGGTATCGTGACGCTGAAGTTGAGCAGCGGTGCTTTTGATCTCCGTACAAAAATCAAAGACGCTGTTACGATATCTGGTATTACCAAGCATCACTTTTGATCGGACTGATATAGAGAAGGTCAGCAACACGGAAATAAGGATTATACTTACGTATGATGGTACTATTAACAAGGATACCATGCTAACCTTTACTATGGAACCGGGGGGAATAAAGAGCTACAACGGGCCTGCGCTCACCGCAGAGATACTTGTTTCTGCAGATGTAGGTGGAACCACGGCATTAAATGCATCAACTGCGGCTTCACTAACTGAGGCAACACTGCATGGAAGTGTGATTACTCTAATCTTGAGCGGGAAAAGATACGACACGAATTGGAACTACGTCAGTCAGAATGTGACGCTATCAGGCATTGCCGGGGTAACATTTAAGCGGCACAATGTGGAGCGTGTCAGCGACACGCGAGTAACAATCCCGCTGGAATTCAATGGGAATATCAATACAGAAAGCACGCTCACGTTCACTGTAGGTGCGAAAGCAATAGAAGATTACGACGGTCCCGCGTTTACTGCAGAACTCCCTGTTTCTACTGGGGCAGAACATGAGGTCCCCTCCACTACGCCAGAAACGCCTCCAGAAACACCAGCAGACACGGATGCCGTCGTGAGCATCTCACCATCCTCAGTAGCATCCCCTCCTGTTGGTGGACAGTTAGAGGTTCGTCTGAACATCGCAAGCGGGGAAGCCGTCGCAGGGTATCAAGCAACAGTGCAGTTTGATACAACTGCCCTCCGCTATGTTTCGGGGGCAAATGCGACTATTTGCCTGCTGGGGCGTTCTTTGTACAACCGAAAGTGGAGGGAAATCTTGTTAAACTGAACGCTGCCTCTCTTGCAGGCGAAAGCAATGGTGACGGCACTCTCGCTACGCTCGCCTTTGAGGTCATCGCAGCGAAGGCATCCGCTTTGACGTTATCTGACGTGATCCTTACAGACAATGAAGGAATAGGTTATGCTCCGAGTGTTGAAAACGCAGAGATAACTGAACCAACTGGACTCAAGGGCGATGTGAATGGTGATGGTATCGTAAACATCCAAGATTTGGTGTTAGTTGCCGCAAACCTCGGCAAGACAGGACAAAACGCCGCAGATGTCAACGGCGATGGACAGGTCAATATTCAAGATCTTGTCCTTGTTGCTGGCGCATTGGGCAACAGTGCCGCCGCACCGTCTCTACACCCACAATCTTTGGAGATGCTCACCGCTGCCGATGTTAAATCGTGGCTATCTCAGGCACAGCACTTCAACCTCACGGATGCAATGGCGCAAAAAGGGATTCTCTTCTTAGAGCAACTCCTCGCAGTGTTAACTCCGAAAGAGACAGGACTCTTAGCAAACTATCCGAATCCGTTTAATCCGGAGACGTGGATACCGTATCAGTTGGATAAACCCGCAGAGGTCACGATCTCCATCTACGCCGTGGATGGACAGGTAGTTCGACGGTTGGCACTCGGACATCAACCCGCGGGTATGTATCAGAACCGGAGCCGTGCGGCGTATTGGGATGGCAGAAACGAGTTCGGTGAACCTGTTGCGAGTGGGATTTATTTCTATACGCTCACAGCAGGAGAGTTCACAGCAACACGAAAGATGTTGATACGAAAGTAACACTTATCAGAGAAATATGGAAGATTGGAGGGTGGAAGATAACACACTTTTATTCTTCCAATCTTCCATACAAGAACCCGATTGCACGTTGCAATCGAAAAACCGATCAAAAGGAGTGCATTATAAAACGCTAACCGTGAAGCAAAAAATCGTGGTGTCAATCGTCGCCGCAATGTTGTTAATATATGGCACACAAGGTACGGGCTACGGACAGGAGCAAAACAACCTACCTGAGTTACCCCAGTCAGCGAGCGTACTCCCCAGGTCCGTGATACGATTGTGGGCATTGGTGCCAGGTGTAGATTCTGCCAACGATGTAACCGCTGCACATCTGGCTTTAATTACCAACTTTAATCTGAGTGACCAGAGCATCACGGCACTGAAACCAGGCGATTTTGATGGATTGTCTTCGTTGCGTTCGCTCTCACTCGCTGAAAACACTCTGAGCAGTCTGCCTACTGGTATCTTTTCGGGGCTGTCTTCCATAAACAGTCTTAACTTAGGTAGCAACCAACTCAACAGCCTGCCTATAGACCTCTTTTCGGGACTGTCTTCCTTGAGTAGGATCAACTTGTCTTTCAACCGCTTGAGCAATTTACCTGATGATATCTTCTCCGGATTGTTTTCCCTGATTGGGCTTGACTTAGGTAGCAACCAACTCAGCAGTCTGCCTGCAGACATTTTTTTTCGGACTGGGGCTTCCCTATAAAAGATTGGCTGAGTCGTCTAACAACGAGTTGAGCAGTCTGCCTGCAGACACTTTTTTCCGGACTGGCTTTTCCCTACGTTCTCTCTACCTGGGTGACAACGCAGTTGACCTATCCATTACTGTGTCACTGGAGCAGGTTGGAGAAAACCAGTTCAAGGGGACAGTGCCCATTGGGGCACCTTTCAATATCGTTCTGCCGCTCAGTGTCACAAGGGAAGTATTGATGGGGCGGAAACCACCACCATCACGATTCCCGCTGGTAGCGTAGAAGCGAACTCCTCACAGTGACCCCGCACCCTCGCACATCGGTGATATCATCGTGGCTATTGGAACGCTGCCAGAGCTACCTACAAGTCATTACGGCTATCGCCTCGTCGAAGCGACAACCTCGGATGGTGATAACAACTCCCTCAGTTTCGCTATCGGTATCCCTGACTACAACGTAGAAGAGAACCATGCGCCGGTCTTCAGGGTGAAGGGTATTAGCACGACGCGCACGGTAGCATAAACACTGGCCCTGGCGGGCGTGAAATATCGGGGGACCCGTCTTCCTACGGATAGGACGATGAATGTTTTGACTACACACTCGGCGGCGCGGATGCGGGCATCTTTTGGTCTTGTCGGGTGGTGTCTGGACAGTTGCAAACGCGTGGCACCCTGGACTATGATATGAAGGATACTTACTCAGTGGTGGTTACGGTTGCTGAGGGTAGTGGTGCAGTCGATCTAGCGGCCGTTGCTATCAGTTTCACTGACCAAAACGATGATCCGTTTTCATAGGGGAATGGTCGAACGCGCACAGTAGCAGAGAAACACATTGCGTGTGTAAAATATTGGTGTATGCGGTAATCTGCGATACAGTGGATGAGTCGACCCTTTGATTTACAGCCTCGGTTGGATAGATTCGGCCAATCGTTTTGGCTTGTGGGTGTGTCTGGACATTTACAAACCGTGCTGACTGTACTATTAAACCAAGACTCTACTCGGTGACGATCATGGTTCCTATGGCAGGTGACCGCCACTATCGGTGTCGCTAATCAAGTGTCAACTGATATGGACGAGGAACACTGTGCCAGTCAATCGAAGGTATGTCATTCCTGAGGTAGACGATACCCTGAGACGCATGCGCCGGTTTTTCGCTGGAGTCGTCAACGCGCTCGATAGCCGAGAACACGCCTGCGTGTGTAAACTTGGCAGTCCGGTATCTGCGGACCGATTCTGATGAACGACACCCCTTAACCAAAACCTACACGCTCGTGGGCGGATTCGACATCGTTTTAGTATTGTGCGTAGTTCGGGTCAAGTTGCAAACCCAGACAACCACTCTCGACTATGACAAAGATTATTTTTTTTTTAATAATTTAATTTTTTGCTATATACGTGACGGTGACCGGGTCCGATGGCGGTCGCACTGATGCCATCACTGTTGCTATCACTATCATTGACGTAGACGAGACCCGCTTATACGCATGCGCCGGTTGTTCGCCGTGAGTCGGACGACGCGTTCGATAGCCGAGAACGAGCGCCTGCGGGTTTAAACATTGGCAGTCCCGGATCATGGCGACAGATGCGGATGACGACACCTTGACCTATCACGCTCTGTGCACAGATGCGGTACCTTTAGCATTGTGGGGGAGTTCGGGTCAGTTGCAAAACCCAGGCACCGGCCCCTCTTGACTTTGAACAAGGACGCTTTTACGGTCCGGTCAACGGTTTCCGATGGCCGTCTGCACTGATGCCATCACTGTTGCTATCACTATCATTGACGTAAACAACTCGAAACTTTTCCTCGGGCCCACTCTATACAGATGCCATAGCATTAGTGAAATTATGTTTGGTTCGGAAAGACGATTCTCGCCACCACAGTGGATAGAACTGCACAATTCCAGTCCAAACATCATCAATCTCACAGGGTGGAAACTGACGATTCATAAAACCCGAAATCGTCAGAAGCTGAGCCGGAAGCGCACCCTCGGAATGAACCGTTGTTGGACTGGCAACAATCATTTTTTTAAAAAGGATATTTCTGGGGCGGATTCGCCAAGGATTTGGCCGAATAGACCGTTTTGGTCGTATCAAGAGATATTGGGTACTAATTTCAGGGAACCTCAATAAAGATCAATTTATGATCTGGGTTGGAGAACAGACCTACAACTCGGTTTCTGGAGTATAATTCTCAGCAACAGAAGGCTCTCTCATAAACTGTTTGATGATGCAGGGAACCTGGTGGATGAGGGTGAACTTTGATGGTAGTGCCATGCAATGGGAGTTACCTGTTTAAGGCGAACAGAGTAGGAACCAAGAGGACCGCAAAAAGAAGGGGGGAAAAAAAAACAAAAAAGGGGGGGCCGCCGAGGAAACAGGACGGGGGGGGGGGAGGGGGAATAGGCAAGCGGGGGGGCGGGGGGGCGGGACTAGGGAGAAAAATAAAATCGAGAGAACGACGAACCCAATCATCTGGTTGCCGTTTGTTCGGGTGACAACTTCTCTCCCTGTTGCAAGGGTCGAGGTTGGACCGGGGGAGGATCGAACCGCCATCGTGGGCCACTCTTGCACTTTAGCTATGAGGCCTAGCTGACTCGACCCCGGACTCCGACGGGGGGCAGGGGGGGGGGTCAGACTGGGGCCGCGGGCGGCGGTGGCGGCTGGGCCAGAGCGCTGACCCGAGAGAAAGAAAATCAGCCTCCATCCTCCCGGACGGCCCTGTGTGTGTGTGCGCCGGGGTCGGGTGCGGCCCTCGATGGGGGAGAGAGTGACACCCAACTGACCGGGACACGCTGTGCCCGGCCACGACGGCGGCTAGGTGTCGAACGCGCGCGGGCCCTCCGCAAAAAGGGAGCCCGGGCCAGGCCCGTGGAGCAATCGTGGAAGGCCGTCATTCCCAAGCGACCGTCCTTGCACAACGGCGGCTCGATTCTCCTCCCACCTCCACCTGAGGCCCCAATCCCCGGAGTACCGGGTGTCGAGCTCGACACAAAACGCTCACAATCGCTGGCCGGCCGGCCGTCGGTGCCGTTAGGACCGCTGGCCGGGGTCGAGGCGACAGAATCCGAAACTGTAGTCAGTCGGGCAGAATAAGGCGATCCAAGCGCGGCTAGCGGCGCTTGCGCCCTGTCGTCCAGGCCGTCAGCCGCCCCCACAGGCGCTTGGGCCAAGGCCTCGGCTGCGCACAGCACACCACCCCTGCGGCGCGCGGGATGGGCCGGACACCGCAGGTGGCCAAGGGCGGCCACAGGCGTCAACGCAAGACCGCGGCCGTGCGCCGTGACCTGCCGAGCCGCACACCACGCCTTGAACGCGGACCTGGTCTCGGCGTCGAGCCGGACGCCCAACATCACCTGCTTCGCCATCCGTCGCGCCGCTAGTCAACGTCAGTAGGCTGGGTGGGACTGTGCCCGCTGTTTCTGAAGTTCCGCCTCCAGCTTGGCGATCAGTTCGTCGCGGCCGTCGTCGTTCTGGGCCTTCGCCAGCTCTATCGCGGTCTCGATGCCCAGGCCAATCATGTAGGCGGACTGGGCGATGGTGTCATGAATGGTCTGCGAGAGTTCGATCCGCTCCCGCTGAAGCTCGCCTTCCCTCTCCACTGCCTCTCTCCTTCTGAGTCCGCTCGAACCTGGAGACCAGGTTGACCGCCGCGACGACCGCGTACATGACGGCAATCCTGGTGAACAGTACCTTCTCCTCCTTGATCTCGTAGTCGACGCCCGGCTCCAACACCAGGCTCAACGCCGCGTACACGACCGCAACCATCGTGACCCAGGCGAAGCTGAGCCTGAAGGAGGTGAACACCACGGCGAACATGGCGAGCGCGGGGTAGTACAGCACGAAGAAGGTGTTCTGAAATCCACTGGATGAGATGGCGATGCCCGCCGTAATCATCGCCCCGTCCATCACGCTGAGAGCCAGCGCCCAGCGCCACGTAACCGTCCGATGCGACCGGATGCGGTAGTGAACGTAGCCGTTGAGGGCCAGCACCGATACCGCCAACAGCGTGGTCGGGAATATAGGCAGGGTCTGCGAAGTTGGGCCGGTAGTTGAACTGCAACAGCCAGGCCGTTAGAAGAAACCATCGTACCCATACCGAAATCCTCAGGTTGTAGCGCAGGTCGTCCCGATCGGTACGATCAAGCTCCCGGCGGGGCCCTGCCATCGCATCGCGCGGCGTGGTCTGCAAATTCAAGCCTCGACTAGCAATCAATGTACGCCGCTCGACGACGGCGGCAAGGTTCGACGTACCTATTCGACAGGTACAAATGTACCCCTCGCAATAGGTACAAACGAACCTTACGGCGCGTCATGCGGAAGGCCACTGTAGACGCGTCCGTGGTACTGACCCTTGAATCGAGGAGAGCGATGATGTCAAAGTCCATTGCACTAGGTTTGGTAGGCGCGGGAGCGGTACTCCTTGCCATACTGCTGCTGATGGCGGTTTCCAGCGTCTTCACCCTGCACGTCCCCGTCGCTGCGCAGGGAATTTCTCCGACGGCGACGACTACTCCAGCCCTTACGTCCGCACCGATTCCAGCCCCGGTGTCGACAGCACCCCCCGACGCGACCGACGACGGATCCCAGCCAGATGGCCTGTTCTACGAGGTCGATGGTGAACCGCCTCCCAGCATCGGCGTCGATACTCTGCCGAGCCGCCTGGTGGGATTGACTTGGGCCAGCTTGCTCAGGTCATAGAGTCGCCGTTCAGCCCCAAAGACCCCGTTACAGGGAAACCTACGAAGCCTCAAGCGCTGGCGTTGAACCTGTTTGACGATGTCGTGTTCACCGGCTTAGTCGAGCATGTGGAACCGACTGCATCGGGGGCATGCTTTGTGGGGCGGGCTCGAGGGTGTGAAGCTGGGTACGATGACCCTGGTCGTGAATGGCAGCGTGGTGGTCGGCACGGTACGGACGCCCGATGCGGTTGTACACGATCAGGACCGCCGGCGGCGGCGCGTACGTCGTCCCGGCAGATCGACGAGTCGTCGCTACCACCGTTGGTGAGCCGCTTAGGGCTCAATTCCCTGAACCAGACTCCACCGCCAGTTCGCCCGCAGTACGAGGTCCGGACGCTCCGGACGGTACGTCAACGCCAACCTCGACTCGTGCCGACTGTGCCGACGTCACCCTCGAACCGGCTCCCGATGAAGCCATGGCAAGCGGCCTGTTCTCGGAGGTCGAGGGCGATCCGCCTCCGAGTCCCGGCGTCGATACTCTCGCCAGCCGCTTGTCGAAATCGACGTCTGGACAGCTCTCTCAGGTCACAAAGTCGCCGGTTTGGCCCCAAGGACCCCGTCACGGGGAAGCCGACAGAAACCCCAGGCTCTTGTTCTGAACCTGTTTGACGACGTGTGCTCACCGGCATAGTCGAGCATGTCGAGCCGACCTCTCTGGCCATTCACTGTGGGGCAGGCTCGACGGGGTGGGGTTGGGGACCTTCACCCTGGTGGTTAATGGCAGGATGGTGATAGGCACGGTGCGGATGCCCGATGCCGTGTACACGATCAGGACTGCGGGTGACGGAACGTATGTCATCCGTCAGATCGACGAGTCATCGCTGCCGCCGTTGGGTGAGCCGCTCGAACCCCCTTTGTCCCCCGAACGTTCGTGTCCCCGCGAGACGCTCCCGCAGAGGCGGACGACGTCCCATCGGACGACGGATCAGAGATACGACGTGATGGTGGTGTATACGCCCTTGGCTAAGCATCGAGAAGGAGGCAGGGCGGCCATCGAGGCGCTGATCGACTGTTCGTCGCGGAGACAAACCAGGCATACGCGAACGCGTGGTATTCAACGTATCAGCTGGTGTTGAGGGAAGAGGGTGGACTACACGAGGGATGGGACTCTTTCATCGACCTAGAGGCTCGAAGCGGATCGGATGGTATATGGACGCATGTTCACGAGCGTCGCGATATGTACGCGTGACCCGTTCTCACATTGTGGTCTGCAGAAGCGATGTGTGTGGGCGTCTAGCATACTGCGTGGGATCGTCGCTGGACAGCGTCGGTTTGGCTCACACTCGCTATCGAGGAGGCCTGTTTCGCCCACGAGTCGGCCACAACATGTGCGACTCACCACGACAGGTATCGAAGTGCGAGTCGGTTCGAGACAGATGGGTCGCAATATGGCATACGTGAACCAGCGAATGTCGAGCCGAGCGCTCCCCGAGTCGGCCCGCTGGCGCACGATTCATGGCTACCCATCAGTGTTGGATGTTCAGAATATTACTTGCGATGGATTGGCTACTTCTCGAACCCGAGAAACTACAATGCGATCCGATGGGCGTCCGGCCGACATCCATCGACCGCGCGGACGGCCTGCCACGCCGTGGGAACTCTCAACGAAGAGCGTGAGATCACGCGAACTTTCGCGGAGCTCAGCCTCGCCCATCCAAGGGTTGCATCTGACGCTGTCGCCGTACTGGCTGGCAGAGAATGGAGGGGTCAGCACAGTGACGGCAACGCTGCACAGGCCATCGAGCGCAGACCCACAGTACGTATCGCCTCGCCGTCTGACGCCGTCACGCTGAGCGGGAGCAGGACGCTGACCATTCCTGCGGGCAGCTGGTGAGCGTCGACAGCGTGACGATCACAGGGGTCGATAACGGCGATCAGACGGGCGACGTGAGCGTGGCAGTCTCGGCGACGGCGGCGAACCACGAGCAATCTTGGGCGTCAGTCTGACCCGGAACCAGTTGCGCTGATGATTGCCGACGACGAGACGACTCCAGTGGTGACGCTATCGCTGTCGCTCTCGGAGATTGCCGAACACGAGGGTTGGACTTTCGTAACCGCTATGCTGGACAGCAGGTCGAGTGCCGACACCACAGTATCGGTGTCGGCGGAACCGGCTGAGCTAATAGAACAGAGAGAGGAAAATACTCTGACCATTCCGGCGGGCCAGACAGAGAGCATTGGGTTTGGTGTGAGACTCCAGGCAGTAGACAACGACGAACTCGCGGAAGCCACCCAAACCGTGACGGTGTCCGGCACGTCAGAGAACGCACAAGGGGTTGCCGGGCCCGAGAACGTGACGTTGACCATCATCGACGATGAAGCGCCCTTCTTCGCTGACGACAGCATTGCGTACACCTTCACGACGGGAATCGCCGGGAGTCGCTTCCTGCCTGAAGCTGAGTTTGGCAACGGGAAGCTAACATACTCCCTATCTCCTGCTCCGAGCAATGATGTCACCTTCACCCCCGAACCACCGGCCCGGATTGGGGTTTCAGCCACCTCCGTCGCTGCCGGCGAGACGAGCTATACGCTGACCGCCACGGACGCCGACGGCGACACCGACACGATGACGATCAGCATTACGGTCCGCAAAGGCGTGTGCCCCAACAGCGCCGCAGTTTCCGGATACTCCGACCCTGGGATCGTCCACGACTGCGAAGCCCTTCTGGCGTCCAGGGACACCTTGAGCGTTGATCAGTCGCTGAACTGGGACGAGGACCTCCCCATCGACGAATGGAAGGGAGTCGAGCTTGCCAACGGCCGGGTAGTCGGATTGCGCATGAGTTCTGAGGGTATCGTCGGGACCATACCATCGGAGTTGGGAAACCTCTCCAACCTGCAAGGGCTGTCCCTCTGGGCAACCGGTTGACGGGTGGGATACCGACGGAGTTGGGGAGCCTCGCCAACCTGCGAGGGCTGTCGCTCAGCGGCAACCAGTTGACGGGTGAGATACCGAAGGAGTTGGGGAGCCTCTCCAACCTGCGGTGCTGGACCTCTGGGGCAACCAGTTGACGGGGTGAGATACCGAAGGAGTTGGGAACCTCGCCAACCTGGGCTGTGGCTCCACGGCAACCAGTTGACGGGTGAGATACCGAAGGAGTTGGGGAACCTCGCCAACCTGCAATCGCTGGACCTCAGTGACAACCGGTTGACGGGTGTGATACCGAAGGAGTTGGGAAACCTCTCCAACCTGCAGAAACTGTTCCTCGGCGGCAACCTTTTGACCGGATGCGTCCCCGACGGACTGCGCGACGTGCCGAATAACGATTTTGTGAAACTCGGCCTGCCGTTCTGCAGCGAGCATCCCTGCGTGAGCGGGGGCGCCGTGGTGGATGCGACCACACTGGGGCTGGTATCTGATTGCGGGATGCTGCTGGCGGCGCGGGACACGCTTGCGGGGACCGCGGCGCTCAACTGGTCGGCGGACACTCCTATCGCGGATTGGACCGGTGTTGCCCTCGGTGAAGCGTCGGGACGTGTGACCGAAATCCTCCTTGGTGGCATGGGTCTGAATGGGAATATACCGAAACAGTTGGGGAGCCTCACCAACCTGCAATCGCTGGACCTCAGTGACAACCGGTTGACGGGGTCGATAGCGGCGGAATTGCTGGACCTCTCCAACCTGCAGGAACTGTACCTCGGCGGCAACCTTTTGACCGGATGCGTCCCCGACGGACTGCGCGACGTGCCGAATAATGACATTGCGAGACTCGGTCTGCCGTTCTGCAGCGAGCATCCCTGCGTGAGCGGAGGCGCCGTGGTGGATGCGACCAACACTGGGCTGATATCTGATGCGAAAGGCTGCTGGCGGCGCGGGACACGTTGGCTGGGACTGCCTCACTAAACTGGTCGGCGGACACTCCTATCACGGAGTGGAACGGTGTCGTGCTTGGTGAAACGTCGGGACGTGTGACCGAACTCGACCTTGGTGCTTTGGGTCTAAACGGGAGGATACCGAAGGAGTTGGGCAGCCTCGCCAACCTGAGCGGCTGCTCTTGACGACAACCAGTTGACGGGCGAGATTCCGCCTGAGCTGGGCGGCCTGTCCAACCTGACGGATCTGTGGCTCTGGTCCAACCAGTTGACGGGCGAGATTCCGCCTGAGCTGGGCGGCCTGTCCAACCTGACGGAGCTGTCTCTGACAACAACCAGTTGACGGGCGAGATTCCGCCTGAGCTGGGCGGCCTGTCCAACCTGACGGGGCTGTGGCTCTGCGTCAACCAGTTGACGGGCGAGATTCCGCCTGAGCTGGGCGGCCTGTCCAACCTGACGGGCTGGTCTCTGACACAACCAGTTGACGGGCGAGATTCCGCCTGAGCTGGGCGGCCTGTCCAACCTGACGGAGCTGTGTCTCCGCACAACCAGTTGACGGGCGAGATTCCGCCTGAGCTGGGCGGCCTGTCCAACCTGACGGGCTGTGGCTCTGCGGCAACCAGTTGACGGGCGAGATTCCGCCTGAGCTGGGCGGCCTGTCCAACCTGACGGAGCTGTCTCTCGACAACAACCAGTTGACGGGCGAGATTCCGCCTGAGCTGGGCGGCCTGTCCAACCTGACGGGCTGTGGCTCTGCGGCAACCAGTTGACGGGCGAGATTCCGCCTGAGCTGGGCGGCCTGTCCAACCTGACGGGCTGGGTCTCTGCGGCAACCAGTTGACGGGCGAGATTCCGCCTGAGCTGGGCGGCCTGTCCAACCTGACGAGCTGTTCTCTGACACAACCAGTTGACGGGCGAGATTCCGCCTGAGCTGGGCGGCCTGTCCAACCTGACGGGCTGGTTCTCCGGCAACCAGTTGACGGGCGAGATTCCGCCTGAGCTGGGCGGCCTGTCCAACCTGACGGGCTGTCTCGCGACAACCAGTTGACGGGCGAGATTCCGCCTGAGCTGGGCGGCCTGTCCAACCTGCAACGGCTGTACCTCGGCGGCAACCTTTTGACCGGATGCGTCCCCGACGGACTGCGCGACGTGCCGAATAATGACATTGCGAGACTCGGTCTGCCGTTCTGCAGCGAGCATCCCTGCGTTAGCGGAGGCGCCGTGGGGATGCGACCAAAACACTGGGCGGATCTCGATGCGAGATGTGCTGGCGGCGCGGGACACGTTGGCTGGGACTGCCTCACTAAACTGGTCGGCGGACACTCCTATCGCGGATTGGAACGGTGTCGTGCTTGGTGAAACGTCGGGACGTGTGACCGAAATCTCCTTGGTGCATGGGTCTAAACGGGAGGGATACCGAAGGAGGTGGGCGGCCTGTCCAACTGACGGAGCTGTGTCTTGACAACAAACGAGTTGACGGGCGAGATTCCGCCGAGCTGGGCGGCCTGTCCAACCTGACAGGGCTGTATCTCTGGGACAACCAGTTGACGGCGAGATTCCGCCTGCAGCTGGGCGGCCTTCCAACCTGACACGGCTGTTTCTTGACGGCAAACCAGTTGCGGGCGAGATTCCGCCTGAGCTGGGCGGCCTGTCCAACCTGACGTGTCTGATTCTTACCACGACAGTTGACGGGCGAGATTCCGCCTGAGCTGGGCGGCCTGTCCAACCTACGGAGCTGGCTCTCGCCGACAACCAGTTGACGGGTCGATACGACGGAGTGGGGGACCTCTCACCTGCAAGGACTGTACTCGGCGGCAACCTTTGACCGATGCGTTCCCGACGGACTGCGCGACGTGCCGATAATAACATTGTGAGACTCGGTCTGCCGTTGCTGCAGCGACATCCTGCGTGAGAGGGGGCGCCGTGGTGGATTGCGACAATGAGGGGCTGAGATCTGATTGCGGATGCTGCTGGCGGCGCGGGACACGCTGAACAGGAGGACCGCGTGCGCTGAGCACGCTGGTCTGGGCTGGACACTCCTATCACGGAGTGGAACGGTGTCGCGCTTGCGTGGAACGTCAGGCCGGGTGACCGACATCGACTCTTGGTGCGTGGGTTCTTGGGTCTAAACGGGAGGAGGATACCGAAGGAGTTGGGCAAGCCTCGCCAACGCGACGGAGCTGCTGTCTCTCGCCGACACCAGTTGAGGCGAGATTCCGCCTCCCTGAGGCTGGGCCGGACCGGTCACAACCTATGCAGCAGCTGTCGCTCTGGGCAACCAGGTGACGGGCGAGATCCGCACTGAGCTGGGCGCCCCATGTCCACCTGACACGGCTGTTTCTCGACGGAACCAGTTGACTGAGAGCGATTAAACCTGAGCTGGCAAGCATGTCAAACCCTGACTATCTGATTTCTCGCCGGCAACCAGTGACGGCGAGATCCGCCTGAGTGGGACGGCCGTGCCTGCCAACCTGACGGGGCTGTGGCTCGCACACAACGTTGACGGGCGAGTGATTCCGCCGAGCTGGGCGCCTCTGTCCAACCTGACGCGCTGTGCTCTCGCGCGCAACCAGTTGACGGGCGAGATTCCGCCTGCTGGGCGGCCGCCTGTCCAACCGAGGACAGCTGGTCTAGCTCTGACAACGGTGACGGCGAGATTCCGCCCTGGTGGGCGTCGGCCTGTCCAACCTGACGAGGACTGTGTCTCTCACGGCAACCAGTTGACGGGCGAGATTCCGCCTGAGCTGGGCGGCCTGTCCAACCTGACGAGCTGTATCTCGCCGACAACGGGTTGACGGGCGAGATACCGCCTGAGTTGGGCGAGCCTCTCCAACCTGACGGGCTGTGGCTCTCGGGCAAACCAGTTGACGGGCGAGATTCCGCCTGAGCTGGGCGGCCTGTCCAACCTGACGGAGCGTGGTCTTACGACAACCAGTTGACGGGCGAGATTCCGCCTGAGCTGGGCGGCCTGTCCAACCTGACGGCTGTCTCTTGCCGGCAACCAGTTGACGGCGAGATCCGCCTGAGCTGGGCGGCCTGTCCAACCTGACGAGGCTGTTTTCCGCGACAACCGAGTTGACGGGCGAGATTCCGCCTGAGCTGGGGCCTGTCCAAACCTGACGCATCTGTTTCTGCGACAACCAGTTGACGGGCGAGATTCCGCCTGAGCTGGGCGGCCTGTCCAACCTGACGGCGCTGTCTCTCACGCGCAACCAGTTGACGGGCGAGATTCCCTCTGAGCTGGGCGGCCTGTCCAACCTGACTGGGCGTGTACCTCGTGACAACCGGTTACCGATGTGTCCCGCCGAGATTGCGGGACGTACCTGATAATGACCTCGATCAGCTAGGGCGTGCCATTCGGTCGTTGTCGCCGCCTGAAGCTTCAACCATAAGCTCTGTCACATCCGAAATGGACTCCCTCACAATATCGTGGGCCACTCCTTGAGCGACGGGGGATCAGACATTACTGCCTTACGACCTGCGCCACATCGAGACTGACGACGACGAGAGCGGTGGGCTCCAATTGGACGGTTGCAGAGGATGTGTGGACCACGGGAAGCGGCGCCCTGGAGTACACGCTCACCGGACTCACAGTCGGCACCGAGTACGACATCCAGGTGCGGGCTGTAAACGCCGTGGGAGACGGGCCCTGGTCGGCAACTGTCACTGCAACGCTAACCACCGTGAGCACCTGCGCTGCGGGAGTCGCGGTGCCAGATCCGACCAGCAACCCCGGTCTGGTGTCCGTCTGCGAGTCACTGCTTACGTTGCTCGACACCCTGGTGGAGGGCACTGTGTTGAACTGGTCGGCGGATATCCCGATCAGCGAGTGGGACGGGATTGAAGAGGATTCGCTGGAAGGGACGCCGCCGCAGGTTGTCAGGCTCTATCTCGGTGGGCTGGGGATTGGACGGTGCGGTACCCAGCGAGCTGTCCGGTCTGACAGAACTGAAAGAGCTGTACCTCCAGGACAATGATCTGTCCGGACCGGTCCCGGTCGAGCTGGGCGACCTGTCGAGCCTCACCCACCTGCACCTGCAGAACAACGATCTGACCGGCGGGATACCGGCGGAGCTGGGAGACCTCGCTGTACTGAGAGAGCTGCGGCTCGACAGCAACGACCTCACTGGACAGCTTGCCCCGGAGCTGGGCAAACTGACCAGGGCCACTCGCCTCTGGGTGGCCGACAACGACCTGTCAGGCCCCATACCGGCTGAGCTCGGCGATATGGCGAACCTCGACTGGCTGAACCTGGGACGGAACAACTTCAGCGGCCAGATTCCCGCCGAGCTGGGCAACCTGTCGCGGATGCGACGGCTCTACATCTACGAGAACGACCTGTCTGGGCCCATACCCGGAGCTCTGGGCAGCCTGTCGCGGCTCACACACATAGTGGCCCAGGCGAACGACCTGAGCGGCGAGATACCTGAAGAGCTGGGGAGCCTGGCGAACCTGGTGTGGATGGGTCTCCATGACAACGACCTGACAGGCGAGATACCTGCGGAGCTGGGCGGTCTTGCCAAGCTGCAGCGTCTATACCTGACCAACAACGAGCTGTACGGGGAGGTACCGGAGGAGCTTGGGGACCTGTCGGCGCTGACCAACCTTTTGGCTGAACCACAACTACCTGTCGGGCCAGATTCCACACTCACTCGACAACCTGGACAAGCTCAGCAGGCTGAGGTTGGCTGGCAACAGGTTCACCGGGTGTCTGCCGGCGGGCCTGGCCGCCGTGAGTAAAAGCGATGCCGACCAGCTGGGTCTGGAGACCTGTGCAGACCCCGCCGTCGGAACCGAGTACGGAGTACAGGAGAAGACGGCCTCCGGAGCCGTTGCACCTAAGCAGGCAGCGACGGGCGACTGTGCAACTGGAGGCGCGGTGCCCGACGCGGCCAACAACCCCGGCCTGGTGTCCGACTGCGAGGCGCTGCTTGCGGCGCGGGAGGCCTTGGTTGGCAATACTGGCAACGCTGAACTGAACTGGTCGGCGGATACCCCGATTAGAGAGTGGGACGGGATTGAAGAGGATTCGCTGGAGGGGGCGCCGCCGCAGGTTGTCAGGCTCTATCTCAACGGGCTAGGACTGGGTGGTGCTATACCCAGTGGACTGTCAGGATTGACGGCCCTGAAGGAGTTGTACCTCCACGATAACGATCTCGCTGGACCGATCCCACCCGACTTGGGCAACCTGTCGAGCCTCACCCACCTGCACCTGCAGAACAACGATCTGACCGGCGGGATACCGGCGGAGCTGGGAGACCTCGCTGTACTGAGAGAGCTGCGGCTCGACAGCAACGACCTCACCGGACAGCTTCCCCGGAGCTGGGCAAGCTGACCAGGGTCACTCGCCTCTGGGTGGCCGACAACGACCTGTCAGGCCCCGATACCGGCTGAGCTCGGCGATATGGCGAACCTCGATTGGCTGAACCTTGGACGGAACAACTCAGCGGACAGATTCCCGCCGAGTTGGGAGACCTGGCGCGGATGACGACGGCTCTACATCTACGAGAATGACCTGTCAGGGCCCATACCCGGAGCTCTGGGCAGCCTGTCGCGGCTCACACACATAGTGGCCCAGGCGAATGACCTGAGCGGCGAGATACCGACCGAGTTGGGAAACCTGTCTTCCTTCGTGTGGATGGGTCTCCACGACAACGACCTGACGGGCGAGATACCTGCTGAGCTGGGCGGCCTCGCCAAGCTGCAGAGGCTGTACCTGACCAACAACGAGCTGTACGGGGAGGTACCGGAGGAGCTTGGGGACCTGTCGGCGCTGACCAACCTGTGGCTCAACCACAACTACCTGTCGGGGCAGATTCCACAGTCGCTCGACAACCTGGAGAGGCTCAGCAGGCTGAGGCTGGCGGGCAACAGGTTCACGGGGTGTCTCCCCGCAGGCCTGGCAGCCGTACGCAACAGCGACGCCGACGAACTGGGCTTGGAGACTTGTTCGGATTCCTGACTAAGCTTGAGCTTGCCTGAGGGCCAGTCAGTTGGCTCTCAGGCAAGACGGGTTAGAAGTCCTACAGGGACAGGAAGTTGCACCGGGAATGCGCGAGGCAGCCTCGCGCAGACTCCTGTGACTCTCCTATGCCCTTACAACTACGGGTGTGACGTCCATGATGGGGTTAGGGCGCTACCCTAGCCGTATGAAAGATAGAACCTTCTCTCTCAGGTATAGTTTGGCGCTCTAGCCCGGACTGAATTGACCAGCGGCTCCCTGGCCTGCGGAAAACTGCTCGTCAAGCACCTCCAAGGGAGCGAAGGGTAAGGGGGACTCGAACCGCGGGGAAGCAGTCTACGGAGCCGCTGCGCCGTTCCGGGCCCTTAGCTAGCGTAGCTGGTGGGCCAACCTGGCCTCGACCAGGACCAAAACTCAGTCTTATCAGTACTGCGCTCTGAACCGGCTGAGCTATTGGCCACCAACCCTACGCATGAGGCAGGCCTCATTGTACCGGACAACCAAGTCGTGGTGGTGGTCGTGCGTTACTGATCAATCTGCTGGGTACCGCGGACTGCTCCGCCTTGCCGCACACGCCTGACGTGATCCTCTCACACTGCGCATTGGGAAAACTCCGTTGCTCAGTGCAGCGGCCATGTCTGCTACTATGAGAGGTGTTGGATCACACTTAAACGTTCTTGGGTCGCAGGAAACTTGGCATTGAAGGATCGGCAAAACGTCGAAGCGACATCTCGTGAAGTGCCGGCGCGCCAAAGAACCTTGTGTTCGTCAGAGTGGAGACCGATGACGGGACTTATGGCTGGGGCGAGGCGTACACGCAGACAGACCGCGACACGGCGATTACGGCCCACGTGGAACGCTTGGGACACTACCTGATCGGGCGGAGTCCGTTCAACATAAAGCACTTTTCGCAGGTGGCTTACGATGACTTTGCGGCCAAGCGCGGGGCGATGGACTTCTGGTCCGCCCTGAGCGCCATCGAACAGGCGCTGTGGGACATTGTGGGGAAGAGCCTGGGAGTGCCTGTGTTCGATCTGCTGGGCGGAGCGTCCGCTGCAGACAGAGTCAGGGTCGATGCCACGCTGGTCGGACGACACCGAAAGTCCCGATGAATACGCCGAGGCGGCCCAGCAGATGGTCGATAGGGCGTCACGCGCACCTGAAGTTCGAGCCATTCTTCCGCGGGTCCTTGGCGCTATTATATCCGTGACGACGGCGGCTGCCATAGAAACGGTATTTGCCGTACGCGACGCCGTCGGACCGGACGTCGATCTACTGATCGAGGTACATCGCAGGCTCGCCCCTATGCACGCGATTCGCGTGGCCGACGCGATTCGGGAAGTCGACCCATTCTGGTTCGAGGAACCCTGCCCGGCCGAAAACGTTGACGCCTTGGCCGAGGTCAGAAGTCGGATTGATGCATTCCCGTCGTTGCCGGCGAGACCCTGTACACCAAGGCCGCGTTCCGGGAGCTGTTCGAGAAGCGTGCCGTCGACATCATCAACCCGGACGTCTGCAACACGGGCGGGATTCTCGAGACGAAGGAGATCGCCGCAATGGCAGAGCCGTACTACGTCGGCGTCGCGCCGCACAACTACAATAGCGTAGGCGTTGCCCTCGCATCGACCGTCCACGTGTCCGCATGCATTCCAAACTTCATAATCCTGGAGTATTGGTGCAGTTTCGAGCCCGTGGCGTGAGCATCACCGTCTGGGTCTCCAATGTCGAAGGGGGGTACATCCCCCTGCCGGACGCGCCGGGCCTCGGCGTGGACATGGACGAAGACGCCCTCATACGGCGGGCAGACATAAGCGTTGGGCGAAAGAGCATCAGACGATATTCGGACGAAGGTCCGTAGTGAGAACCGAACCCTCCGTCCGCGATGTAGCTCTATTTACAATTGGAGGAAATTTTGAAAATCAAGGTTAACGGTCGCGATGTAGAAATCACGTACGACATCCAAAGCTACGTAGACAAGAAATTCAACCGCCTTTCTAGGCACTTGCCTCAGATGATGGACGCCACCATGGAAATCAAACGAACGTCCTCGCGCTCAGGAGACGACCGGATCGTCGTGCAGCTGACGTTGACTGTCAAAGGCCAGGTCTTGCGGGTCCACGGCGTGGTCGACCGTCTCGCAGCCCGTCGACAAAAAACAAAAAAACGAAAACGACCGCCGTTGATGTCATGGACCGCCAGATTCGCGGTAACACGGTGACGTCGTTACCCAATACCCTCTCCATCAGTTGACGCAATTCCTTCGTCGATCTGCCCTGACTGCATGGTTCCGGAATCCGACGACGAAATGCCGTTAGCGGACGAGATGGAGGAAATGACCATCAAGGTGGTACGCCGAAAGCGCTTCCCGATGATAGGCATGACCGTCGACGAACGCGATCCCTCCCTTCTCTGATATCTTGCTTAACACACACTTTCTACCTGTCGCCGCGTGGTAGACTGCACCTACCCACCCTTTGTTGCTCCGGCGCTAGGAGGCGACTTACTTACGGCCTCATCGAACCGATCTCCGGGGTAGTGTGCAAATCTGAGATCACGCAGGCAACTACTACATTAGGCTGAGCGGGGCAATTCGATGTCGAGGCTGACGCGGGCCACCCGTTGCTCACTTTAGAAGAGAAGCCAACTCCACTTGATACCCCAGACAGCGCACCTCCCCTATCAGAGTATTATGCCACCAAGGCCGAAGGATTGAAAAGAATGCCGATAGAAGCGGCCACTACGCCACTCCGATTGATGCGGCGAGGGCGTACATCGCGTACTGGACGAGCCTCTCCAGCCCCTCGCCCCCGGTGTCAACTTCGAAGTCCTTCTCTCGGCGCCTGGCTTCGCCATCGCGGTCCTCCGTGAGGGGGTCATACCCCAACCGTTTGATCGCCATGTCACGGTTTTCCCGCGCCTCATCGAGCGAAGCATCGAACTGCAACGCCTCGTTAAATGCCTTGGCGGCTCCGGCCAGGTCACCGGCCTTGAATCGTGATACACCCTCATTGTTCTTTTCGACCGCAAGGTCTTCTCTTGAAATGGTCGAGTTCTCGCCAACCATGGTCTTACCTCGTCAGAGAATTTTCGTGATCCGCGTATTCATCGCCATAAAACGCCGTTCGGTTCGTACTGAGTGTAATGAAAAGCGCTTAGCCGTGTCAACGCCCGCAAACGGCTGTCGGGCAACCTCTCAGATTAGGGACGCTTGAACGACAAGAGGACTCGGAGCACCATGTACCTCGATCCTTATGATTGCAGGCACGATTGCACGGCCGATAATGCCGGAATTTATCACTTTCAAACGCTAGGCCCTCAGGGACGGGCGAGAAGAATCTGAGTTCCTCGAACTCCTGCGTGGGGAGATCGTGCCGCACTTCGAGAAATTGCCGGGCTGTCTGAGGCTAGGGGCTTCTTCCATTGTAGGCACACGGTCCTACCTTGCGCTGCAATAATGGCAAAGCCGCGAGCGTTGGCGCGAAACAACCGCTTCCGACTACTACCGGACCTGGTATGAAGAATACCGGCCAATCCTCGACCGTTGGGACGAGATCATGCTAATGGAAGAAGAGTGGGCCGCCGAAGAACTGCTCGCTGCTAGTACTCAGTCAACTTGCATATGACGAACAGGCAGATGCCGATTTATCCCCTCTCCTTCGACGAGAGGGCTAGAGCCTGCCCCGTACTCGATACGGGGGTGAGGGTGAATCATAATATCAAAACCATGTTGACACGCTACTAGCGCCGAAGCCTGACGGAGGATAGCCGCTCTGGGTTGCCGGTGACTGCGGATGCTCTCGTCAGTCGCCCGTGTCCCACATGCCGGTGGAGAAATAGCGCTCGCCGATGTCGTTGAAGATGGGATCTGATCGTGGCCCGCGCGCGCTACTGCACTGCGACCGTGTTACGCCGCCCAGCCAGACAGCGCGCCCGACGACTGGCCTGCGAATAGCCCCCGCTCCGACATCTCGCGCGACATCTCGTACGATGCGTCTCCACGTCCGATAGTCGATCTCGCTGCGCGATTTAACTCCTCATGGTACGTTTCCGGCACGATGTGGCCCTCGCCCAGGTGCTTCAGGCCCTCGACGCCCGGCCACTGGGGTGGGTTGATGCAACGACCTCGATGGTTGAGTCGTGTTCCTTGAGCCTTCGGCCCACGCCGCTGATCGTCCCGCCCGTGCCTACTCCGGCAACGAAGTGTGTCAGGTCGTCGGCCTGCGCCAGAATCTCCTCGGCGGTGGTCTCGTAGTGCGCGCGCGTATGTTCTGTGTTGAGTGACTGGTTGCACCCCGCAAGTACTTGTCAGGATCGGCCTCGTAACGACGCTTGACCTCGTGGAGGCTCTCGTCGTACCGAGCATCTGTCGTGAGAGATCTTCGTCACCGGTTGGGCTCGGAGCGCTTCTTATCGCGCCTCGCTGGCGTTTTTTCCGGGCTGACCATTTCAACGCTGTATCACGAGCACCGCGCCGATCATCGCGTAGGCGATGCCCGCGTTGCCCGATGTCGCGTCGAGAATCGTCCGATCGGGCGTCAGGTCGCCTGCCAGGATTGCCTCCACCAGCATCCGAAGGACGGGGCGGTCCTTGATGGAGCCGCCGGGGTTGAGGTGCTCATACTTGGCCGAAACCCTGGCGTTCCGAATGTCCAACGGCATGTCTAGTTGCACCAAGGGCGTATTGCCGATGGCGAGCAGGGAAGGGTGATCCCTGACAAATTCAATGTACTCGTCGGACTGGGGCAAGTCGAATGCCTTTCCGGTGGAATCCTGAGCGTGAGTCTCTGCGTACGACACCAAGTATAGCTAGAGCCTCGAAAGGCCGTCCAGTCTTTCGGCCTTCGGACACGGGGCAATCGCATTTGGAGTTGGTAGGGACGCCGTCAAACGTCACTCTGACGAAATCATGTCCCTTACCCCGCACTCCCATACGGCAGGAAATCCCACTACCTAGTACCCGTTTCCCATTTGAATATGATGAACAGCCTGATGCCTATGTTAGCATCCCCTCTCCCTTCGAGGGAGAGGGCTAGAGCCTGCCCCGTACTCGATACGGGGGTGAGGGTGCTTTGAGTAAGCTGCCAAAATCATATGGAATCGGTACTAGTGGTTCAACATCATAGTATTGAAGGGTAACGAGACCATGACTTGGTAGGGGCGGGTTTGAAACCCGCCCTGTCGTGTACAACGCGAATCCAACCCCCAATTACTACCCTTCTTTCAAGGTTCGGTTACTAGGTCGCAAGAATGACGCGGTGGGTCGCTATTTAGCATAATGGGCTGGTTTTCTGGGGCCACCCCCAGCAGCACTACTTTCTTTCTCTTTACCCTCATCCCCCACTGGATGGGGGGGTTGGGGCAAAGGTCTAGGAACGATATGACGATCATACCCCATGTCATACGACATTGACGACCTTAGAGACCTCGGCATCAACTATTCCTACCAGGCTGCCGAGTCGAACGCGAACTCGACGTACGCTTTAGCGAATTCACACCGCTTCAGCGTGAAATCTGGCGTCGCCAGACCCTCTGCCTCACCCAGTACGCCCGAACCAGGACCTATTCGTCGGCAACTCGGTCTGCGGGCGTCACCGTCTACACCTGGAAGCATGGGAACGTGACAACGTACTCGGCTTCTCACGCCGAAAGGAGATCGCCGACCGCGAATTCTGCGACGGACTCGAAGAGTTGCTCCTTGAGCGCGCCCGAATGCCCGACTCTCCGCCATCCCTCCTGTCAGCCGTCCTTCGAGCCCAAATGCCCGAGAAGTACGGATCAAGCCGTCACGACAGGGATCAGGACGACGAACGCGACAATTTCGCGAACGGACCCGACACCTATCACAAACTCCTCGCGGACATTATTCAAGCGCTGCAAGAGCGCGAAGACTCCGCCGATGCAGACGAGCTAAGCCCGGCGTCCCCGAACGACGAAAGTGCCTCGGATGACCCTAAAAACCCCACAGCCGAGAACGAAGAGACCGGCAGCGACGTTGCGGCGCCCGAGACCTCTCGATCTCTCCCTCGAGGACCAAGCATTGACAGGGCAGGCAAGTCTTACGCCCGTCCCCGATACCTCCCCAACCAAGGAAGAGACCCGGAGCGAGGACATTTCAACACCCCGGAACACTCGCGCTAGCACTCAGAACCCTACGACCTACAACGCCGACAGCGCGCCGCCACTCAGGCGGCGAGGCCAACGTCCGAAGTCCACCATCGCCCGCGCCCCCAACTAACCGTCCCTGTCATTCCCGTAAGCACATCGCCCCGTGCCAAGACACGTGGACGGTGATCCGCTACTCCTACTTCCCGTCATTTGCGCCCCCACGCTAAATCACCCCATCCGACCGGAAACCCCAACCCGGCCGGCCGTCTGAAACACCCGCCCAAAAAAAAAAGCCCTCGAATTGCTCTCTATCCACTCCTTTCCCTCAGAGGATGACCATTAGGCCTGCAAAATTAATACCCCCCTCGTTCCCTCGGGATTGGGCCTTTGCCTCATGTGCTATTCATCGAGAGACAGATTAAGCGTGGGGAAACTTTGGTGCGAAAGGGAAAAGGTGGGGCGGAAACACTTAGACGCGGGCTTTCTAGTACGAAAATGCTCCACTCCACTCTCTTCACGTACCTCTCCCCCCTCGTCGAGGGCAAACCAAGAAACCACTCATAACCTCCGGCCAAAAAAAGTGACGGAGAGGGTGGGGATGATGGAATATCCGTAAGTAGTTTATGCTCTGGTGGCGGGAGTCCCGGACCATGGAGTGGTTACTTTGCAAGCGGGTCGCTAACTTACCAATACCACGTGCGGCGTAACGCTGCTCAGGGTGAACGGAATGCCTTCTATACCCTCCTCACTACTTCTACTCTCATCTCCACCCCCGCGGCCCTCGATTCCTTTCGATGCATGACTGCATCTCTAGGTATACGCCGATAAGGACGAGCGGCGATGCCCGGCACGACCACCCTCGATCGAGTTAAAGAGCTTCGCGACAAGATCAACCACCACAAACTCATCATACTTTGTAGCTGACGACACCGAGATCAGTACGCGCATACGACGAAGTTGATTGGCTGAGCTGTCAGGTAGACGAATCGGATCGATAACCGAACTCGTTACTCCGGACTCCCCAACCCAGCGTGTGGGGGCGGAGCCGCTCGAGGGGTTCACGCAGGCCGAGCACCCTGTGCCGCTCCTGAGCCTGGGCAACGCCTTCGACGACGAGGAATTCATGGCATGGCACGCTCGCGTTGCCGACCTGCTGGAGGAACCGCAGTTCGACATGGTCTGCGAGCTAAAGTTCGACGGGCTGGCAGTTGCGCTGACCTACGAGGACGGTCTCCTCACTCGCGGAGCTACGCGGGGAAACGGCGTGGTCGGCGAGGACGTGACCTCCAACATGCGGACGATCCAATAGCCCCCGCCGTGGCCCGGCTGCGCGGTCCGGAC